TTCTCAAGACCCTTCACCAGCTTCGTTGCCCTTCTCTGGACCCGCTCCAGAACCATGATGTCTTTCTTAAACTGTGGCACCCAAAACTGAGCACAGTACTCGAGGTGTGACCTCACCAGTGCCAACTGCAGTGGGACAATCATTCATGCTCCTGCTGGCTACACTATTCCTGATTCAGGCCAGGATGCCATTGGCTTTCTAGACCACCTGGGCACACTACTGGCTAATGTTCAGCTGGCCATCAATCAACACCCCCAGGTCCCTCTACTGGGCAGCTTTCCAGCCACTCCTCCCCAAGACTGTAGCACTGCCAGGGTGCAGGACTTGGCACTTGGCCTTATTGAAACTCATATGATTAGTCTCAGCCCATTAATCAGCCTGTCCAGATCTCTCTGAAGAGCTTTCCTACCCTCCGGTAGATCAACACTCCCACCTAACTTGGTGTCCTCTGCAAACTTTCTGACAGTGCTCTTGATCTCCTTGTTGAGATCATCGATGAAGGTATTAAACAGGAGTGGCCCCAACACCGAGTCCTGAGGAACACCACTCGTGACTGGCTGCAAACTGCCCATCCAGCCAGGCTAAAGGAGGAATGCAAGGGAGTTCCTCTCTGTGTTGGTCCCAGGGAGTGTCTTTATTTGGGCTTTAATCACATGATTCTCAACAAGGCCAGGCAGCTGGTTTCACAGTCTTGTAACATGCCTCTATCTAAAGAATGAGTGTTTGATCCAGCAGAGTGTACAACCATCCAAGCCTTGGGCATATCTAATTTATTTCATTCCTGTATGCAAAAAGTTGAAAAAGTAGCTATTTTGAGAATAACGGAAAGAACAGACTGGAAGCAGTTAGACAGTGTTCTAATGCTAAGAGATCTTTGTCAGGTTTGTTTGTCGTATAGAGTTGTGACTCTGAAACTGAAAGGCTATAACCAAAAACGGAGGAATGGAAACAGATTATAGGTAAAGATTAATACTGAGAGGTTGAAGAATATTTTTGGTCAAAAGCAGATATGAAAGACATGCTTTTCTAACTAGGTAATACTTGAATACTATTAAAAATGACATGGATGGAACAGAATATTAAGATCTTGTTTTCCTCCTATAGAAAACCGTAGCAGAGTTCTTTTGATAATCTGTACTCACAGGCAGGAAACTGTAATGAAATACACAGATCGTATTGGAAGTACTCATTGCTTGCTTCAGTAGTGGAGTGTAGAGTACCATTCTTCAGTTAGTGATTCTCATATGTAATGCCAAGAAACACCGCGACAAAGACTTAATGGGTAGCCAGGCAGGAGAGGGAAGAATCAGAGGGAGGCACAGAGGTACAAAGAGGCTGTGGTGGCAGCTCACATCAAACAGCTCAGTGCTGTAACCACACTTACAGATTGCTAGGCCTTTGCCTTACTGACTAAACTAAACGGCTTTTCTCTATGGAACTGAAAGCAACATTTGTTTGCAAAGCACATGTAGTTTTGTAATTTTGAAATTTTTAAATGATAATTTTAAATTTCCAGTATTGATTCCTATGCAGGTTAAGGGGTTTTAGGCATAGTGTTCTCTGCATTTCTCAGCAGCAGCCTGGGGAGAAGCAATGGGGAAATCATGCTCGTTACTGTCTTGAACTACAATATTTTTATTTTTGATGACATGACCATCTGTCATGCACTTTTTTTCAGTGAGGCAATGGTGCGAGTTAGGGCTGGGCTGGCCACTAAACGCTGACAGACGCTCTAAACCCCTCTCTCTCCCCAAGTGGAAAGAAAAAAGGGAATGAGGCAGAGAGACTTATGGATTGGAAAAAAAGAAAATTTAAAGAGCTTTAATGAATAAGGAAATAATAAAAATAGTGAACTATATACGTATATGCAAACCTGGTATCGAACCCGACCCGAAAAGAACTGGTTCTCGTTAGCTCAAGCCAGGACAGGCAAGAAGAGTCTGGACACCTGCCAGGTAGGCAGGTAAAGCTCCTGCCCACTCTTCTCAACACTCCCGTTACATCAGTTTCCTTCCCAAATCAAAGCACTGACAGCAGCAGCCCTGTAATAGGGAAAAGGAACTCGGATTTAAAGAAACATGGAGCAGTGCCACTTTTCTCAAGTAAGAATTAGCGACAAGTTTTTAAAAGCAGATGTAGTGACTGTAAACTTCAGACATTTAAAATCCAACCTGCAACCAAAGAGAAACAAAAATAGCTAATCACAACACTATTTCTGAAATCATTTCAACAGAAGCTTTCAGTAATTAATGTTTTTGACCTTTCTGCTGCTAATGGAGCTGGCATGAGAATTTCCATCGCCATTTTCATTCAAGGCAAAATTAGCTCTAAGACAAAACAGGCATTAATATGAAAGGAAATAAAAATCAGCATTTTGTAGTAGTCTCAACACCACCACTTAGCCCTTTCATGACTTGCACTAAAATTTGTACAAAGAAGTTCTGAATCCTATAGCTGGCTTCTCCAAATTTATTTTTTTGACACCCCAGTTTAAAGAAGTATCAGAGACACCTAAATTTTTGTCTCTGTGCACATCCAGAACTGTTCTGTCAGTGTTCTCTGAACCCCACCATCTGCAGACTAGTTCTAGAACAGCCAATATTTAAATTGGCATTAAAAGGCTGCAATGTAAAGTGTCATACAACTAAGGTACTACAGAGAACAAACTTCTCTCTCTGGTAGCTGTCACTTTATGTATTTCAGGGACAAATAAAACCTTTGGAAACCACAGTTACAATCCAAGCCCCCCCAAAGTGCCTTGAAGTAAAACAATTCTTCCTAAGGACAAGTCTACACCACAGTAGAACAGAGTGCTATGTGAAAATGACTGAGCACTGCATGAAGCCATTTAAACAGATTTAACAGGATGGGACCACAAGGAAAAAAAATAACACATTTAACAGCACCTACCTTCCTTAAACTTACATTAACATGATGAAGTGCTGGCTAAACCTCACAGTCCCACAATATATACTATTAATGTCACGCAATATTAATCACCTACGTAATGTATTACTAATTTATTTTAGTATAAATATATATGTATTCTGATGCCAATCCATAAAAACTTTGCTGTAACAAACTGTGTAGCAGTAACAAGCAGAATGCTCATTCTTTAGACAGAGGCATGTTACAAGACTGTGAAACCAGCTGCCTGGCCTTCTTGAGAGTCATGTGATTAAAGCCCAAATAAAGACCCTCCCTAGGACCAACAGAGAGGAACTCCCTTGCATTCCTCCTTTAGCCCTGGCCCGGCTTCGGGTGGAATCCAACAGGGGAGGTGACATCAGATGTTCCCATATTTGAATTTCAGTAGTATAAAAACTGGACCCTCCTGCAGCGATTTTGGAGACCTCATCTGCGAGTAGACATGCCGTGGAGGACTCCCAATAGCCAGGATAGATGCTGCAGATCCTCGCTGCAACAGAGGCTCCCCAGTGTCCGCGGATCTGGATGATGGTAAAGTATTAGGGCAATCGGTGATGTATCTTCCTTAAAACACTATCACTGACCGTAATTAGTAATGATTAGGTGCGTTACCCTGCTTATTCTCCTTGCTGCTTAAAACTAGAGTGTAATAAGCTTATTGTTTTAACGAAATCCATTGTCTTACTCTTGTAATACCTTAAAACATACAGTAAAGTAAGAGTACTCTTCTGTTCGTGTCTGTGTCCTTTCTGCAGCTCCCTTCCATCCACTGGCAAAACACGTGACAAATAAATTATTCTCCATGTGGTACCTGATGTAACGTGTTTCAAATATGACTAATATTAATACAATCATGTTTTTCAAAGATCTTTTATTTGTCTGCTTCCTTTCTTGGATATACATAACATACACAGCACACAGTTTTTATGTTGGTGTATTATTCAAACATGGGCTCTGATCCCAAATACGAGCTTCAGTGATCCTCTTTACTTGGAACACAAGAGGTTAGCTTCTTACTCAGATTTAAAGACAATGCTTATCAGAATCCTCCTGTACTTTAAGATTTCTGGAAGCAGTATAATAAATCCTAGTTCAGATATACATAATTTCATAGTACAGAAAATATATCACCTTTACAAGAAAAAAGTCTTCTAAGAATTCCTTCCAAAAAAGTAAACATTCATGTAAGCCTCTGCTCTATCAACCTCCCCAATTCAACTGTAGTCAAGGCTACCTGTGCCTGCTGGCTGTAAGAACATTTTAGAAGAGCACCATCCTAACACTAAAACTGTCAATCGGTCCTCTAGCTATCATAAATATACTTACTTTGTAATTTAAAATACAGGAATCTCACATTTCTCAATTAAAACTTTTCAATTTTAATTACAGATAAGTGTATAAAGCCATATAGGACCCTCTAGCACAGAAAAACCACAAAGCCCTTACTGTCCACTGTAAGCAAAGTCAAACCACATGTTTTCACAAAACACAGTATTCCTGACACAAAAAAATGTTTAGTTTGGCAACAGCAGTGGTGGAATAAAGAAAGACAAGTTTAAAAGTAGGATATATAAAACTTGTCTAAAGCAGGCCCTCCTAAACTACATCTGTCTAATGACCAGATTCAATGTATGTTCTCACAAAAAGTGCACGGTGTTTTACAGGAATTGCTCAGCACTGCAAACAACAGCAAAAACATGCTTCACCTCATTTTTATTAACTCACAGGTTTTAATAATTCAAATAATTTATCATCCATGTTTTAAAACCCCAAGATAGTAAACATTAAAAGTTAATAGGTTAGTTTTAAAATTCTGTTCCCAATCTTAACATATATAGTAAAACATATTTCTGAGGCACCACTGAAAAATCCAAGCAAGAATTGATTGTCTTCCATATAACCACAAACATTCAAGAAATGGTTGATCTATTTTGATTTCCCACAAAAGGGAAGAGTTGATTTGATTTTCTCTATTCTGTAGATGTTAGTATAAAGTCAACGTTAATATACAAAACCTGGCACTAGAACTGCCTCTTCAGAGCCATACAGTCTTCACATGCACTGTAACCTACAGTCAAACATAACTTCCAGCCGTGCTGGAAATTTTCTATTATTCAATACCTGACTTTTCTATTAAAAAATAAACCTAGACTGGATTTTTGTTTTAAAAAGCCTATCTTCTCCCACAATTTGAAAAACAAGTATCAAAGACGAACAAATAGCAAAACCAGAAGAAATAAACACTGTGCCAGTTATGAAGTTCTGACATCTGACAGCCATGGTCTGAGGAGTATTAAAAAAATTTCCTATATACAAATTTTATGTACACACTAAGATGAAGAGGTTAAGAAAATTACTGTGTCTGATTTTCCATTTATTTCCACCACTTTGACATCTAGCTGCAACTCATGCAAATGCATTTCAAATGTATTATTGTGCAATAACCTCCCTTTCTATTTGGTCTGGCAACAGAATTAGGTCACTTTCACCTCTAGGTATCTAAAAGAACACATTTTTAAACAAAAAGTTAGGCCTTAGTTTCTTGGATAAAACATAGCATATTTAGAAGTTCGAAAGCCAAGCAGGTCTCTCATTTCGTTTCGGAATTTTGACAAGTCCTGTCGCAGTTCATTTAGGTTTTCCACAGTTGCCTGATCCGTGCTTTGCATCTTCTGTCTCATGGAAGTCAAGTAACGGTGGACTAAGCAACACATCACCTTTTGATAATTCTCATCTCTCTTTTGCTTCAGATTTCTCCATTCCTAAGGGAACAAACATCAAATATTTTTTTATGCAAAGTCATTTCTAAGCCCTAAATACTGTATACAATTATATAGATAATACATATGAACAAAGTAACAAAACTATTTTATAGATACAGCCTGATGCACACAAATAAACACCACATGTAAATTACCAGGAAAATTTAAATTAAATTATAATCTGCTGTACAAGCAGAACAGAAGATTTTCATTCTACTTGGCTTGGTAAGTGGAATTTAGAGTTCTGTAATCCTGAATATTTCTCATTGCGCATTCCCTTACGTCTTTGAATTTAGTTTATTTAATGCTACTTTTGTCAGCAAGAAAATAAAAAATTAGTATACAAAATTACAGGGTGCAATAAAAATGTTTATTTAACAACAACAAAAAAATCCTCTCCCCCCATCAATGAGAAGTTTTAGCAATCCTGTTCAGTTACTTATTTTGACACTTCTGTGATATGTTTAAAATCAATTACCTTCCTCAAAGAATACCCTAACCTCACCATTTTTGAGATTAGCACATATTACCTCGAGGCTTCAATGCATTTTCAATCAATTAAAGCATTTTTCCAGACTATTATTGTGAAAATTGGGAATTGGAGGGAAGTGGGTTGAAATTACTGAACCCAAAAGTTAATAGAATCTTACTTACATAGAAACAGGTAACATTTTTTTTATTTTGAATGCAATACATATTATTACATAGTTCCTACTTATCTTAGTAGCACTCCCCACATGACAGGCAGCTTCATGCAGCAATTTGCTAATTCATTTTAGCAAGCAGCAACTTTCCAGCTTCAGAGCCTACAGCTTTCCCAATGATTTTTTACCTTTAGGCTGTTCTGGCGTTTTACTTTGCCACTTGATGTATGAGAGCAGATCCATTTACTGAGACTGTTGAAAAGGTAACAGATTGTCTTAGGAGAGGGAATAACATTGAAAGGTGGAGGTAGCGTGCATTTGTCATCAAAGTAGCTAAGCCAAAGCTTAGCACGAGCAAACTTCCATTCCTTATCTTCATGATTCTAAAGCATCAGAAACATAAACAGAGATCAGAAGCAAAGACATTAACATATTTTCTCATACCCGAAAAACTGACTCCTATTTCACTTTGACTACAAAGTATTTTAATATACAGATTAGTGTTTTAATTAATTAGTTTTAATGTACGCACATTAAATAATTAAAAAACGCACACACATCTCTCTTCCATTCACTATACTCTAGTGTAAGCACAAAATGTAGCTATCAAAGTGTAAACCCAAGCACCACACCTTAACAAGAATAGCATCCTGACTTAAACAATCATACTTTCAAGAGTCTTCAATTCCCAGAAGGCCAGAGCCTTGCACATATTCAACATGCCAAGTATCCATTTATTTGGATCAAAGTAAATAAAAAGTTCATATTTGAAAGAAAGATGCCCCATCTGAGCTCAAAGGCAGAGCTCATCCATGGAGGTCTACATATTGTAAGGAGGAATTTGTAATAAAAGATACAGCTGGCAATTACTGGTAATTAATCAGAAATTACTTACTGCTATCAGCTGAAAACTTTTATGAAGCATTGCCACAAGGAGTTTAGTTAATACTATCACAACCACCACATTATAGGTACCAACAATAACAGCACCCACAAAGGATTGTAATTCTTCACCATAGCTAAACCGTGTGACAAAGATTGCTACGTGTGCCAGGGAGAATATATACCAGAACAGAGCAAAACATGTACCAATAAACCTACAAAAAAGGAAGAAAAATTATCTGGTTAGGTAAAGCAAACATCAAAAGTGAGCTTAGTTAATATAAATTCAAGCTCAGTGAAAAATTCCAGTGTTGTTTCATTACTAGCAATTAAGGGCTAGAAAAGTTCAACTATTTCATAAATATCAAACTCACGAATGGAATGTGTCATTGCTCTGTTGTTCACAGAAAATACCCGCACAGTCCTTTTCTTCATTTACAGTAAATCCTTTATCATAAAGTTGTGTCAATCCAATTGTGAAGGAGAACAAGACAAGAAGAAACATGCCCAGAAATTTTCCAAAATCTTGTAGCATCTGCCCCATTGAAATCTGTGAAATAGATTTATTTCAAAATTTAGTAAAACATGTAGTTATTTTTGTTAGTAGTCTCTCCAGCCTATAATCAAAAATATACCTATTTACATCTTAAATGTTTAACTTCAATTTTAAGATGCTAAACAGACTTTGTACCATATTTCAGTGAAAAATTCTACATGTTAAAAAGAAAATTCAATGTCCTTCTATTAACCATAAACAATAGCATTGTACAACTTTATTTGTAATATCAACGGTAAAAAGGAACTCATAAGATAATAGGTAAAAACAGTAAATGAAACATACTTGAACATATATAGTATCATAGAAAGTTAAGAAAACACTTAATAAGGACATTGAATTAATCAAAACATTTGGAAACATAATCCATCACTAATTAAAAACGGGTATACCAAAACCCACCTTCACGTACGTTTTACGTTAAGCTTTTAAATATACACAATGTGTAGGTATGTAAGCACGTAAAACTTTAAGGGTGTAAAGTACAGAATATATGACACTGAATTCAGATCATTAGTTTCCATTTCAAAATATCCTATACAGAAGTTTGCAACAGGACAAATGCAGCACCTTTAAAAAAAAAATTACGCCCATGCAGTTCCGATACACAGAGAAGACCTTGACTTGCTTTAGTCATAAGCATCAATTTTTCCACACACGTAACACAAACTGTTTATTTTATCTCCTTTACCCTTCCCACAAACTTCATCAGAGAACAATACACTATTGGAAAGAATGGAAATATATAAAATGGGATCATGTAAATCTAATCCTCTATGTAAATCGCTGTGTGGAAGGCTAATCTTATATGAATCAGAATGTGTTCCAAATCATAGTCCAGAATTAATCACTGGTCAGGTTTTCAAGCACAAGTTTACTGGGATGTGAGCTTCTGCCCCCTCCATGCTGCTGGGAATTCAGTGAGCGCCCCTGTCGTGCAGCAGATCCTCTCTTCTTCGCACAGTTTGCTGTAGTCATGAAGAATCTGCAGCTGTAGGCAGCGCTAGGTAGTAACTGCATCATTAGGTCACGGATGAATGCAATCCCTATCACATGGTTTCATCACATCTTACTCTTTAGGAAAAAAAAAACCAAACCCACAAACCCCACAAAACATTTACCCTTTAACTGACATGTGGTCACAGGCAAGACAATGACAAATGAAACAGGAATGCACAAAAATGGCAAACCACCCAAAGCTGTATTGTTTGGAACAGAGTGTAATAACACAGTCCAAATACCAGTTGCTTTCTTCATACAGTCATGTTATTTCTTTCTCAGTATTTAGAATTTCTAAGCCCTCTAATCTAGGGCAATATTATGGTATCTTATGCTAATAATAAAAAGCCCATAACTCAGCCAACTTACAAATATGTATTAAAATAGGTTTTACTAATCAATAAGTAAAGTAGATGATTGCTTAAAAATAACCCTATAAGCCAAGAGAACACAGTGGCTGCCTTTCCCCCACCACACACTGCTGGCTTTCTGTGCCATGTTTGATTACCACAGTTTGAACTTTGTGACCTACTTTCAGAAAATACTGTAAGACCTGTTGCACAAGCTGTACTGGTCAACAGTAATAACATAAGTTTCAGTGTGCCACTGAATGCATGACTGTTGACTGTTTTTATTTACTTGGAAAATTTCATAACATAGACTCCTAATAAAAAAAACTTGTGCAAAATCCAGTACATAAATAAATATGCCCAATTAACAGTGAATACCATTAAAACGTGGAGAGACTTCAGTGTTCAATCAATTTGTGTAACAAGCCTGATGCTTACTGCAACAACTTCTCTATTTTTCTCAACGTATGCAAGTATGCTTCCATTAAAAATGTATAAAAAAACCCACCACTATTTAATGGCAACATACTGATAGCTAGAGAGAAAAGGGCAAGAAATAAAACTCTGAGGAGAAACAGGCATCTGCCAATAGTATTAAGAGTGGTTACAAGAACTATGAACATTATTTTTAAAGCACTTTTTATGATGATTTTAAAAAGACCAATTTAACAAGTGATTATTTTTCTTTTTGAAGAGCATAGTTTTATATGAAATAAAAATATTCTACAAGATAATTATTTGTGCAGCAAGATTAAGTAATCTAACTTACGAACATAAGATGAACTTTCAGGCTGCAGGTTTTCGGCTAGATCTTAAAGCCTTGATACAAGACCTAGTGATCTGAGCCAAAACTATGTACTTCAGAACCTCCTTTCCATGTAGCTGTAATTGCTGAGCAAAAGTTAAAAAAAAAATTTATTCTGCCTTTATACTTAAGAGTGACAATATTTCTTGCAGGATCCTTTCACAAATCATCCTTTTGCCACAAAGCTCTTAAAACTATTGCAGTTCATTAGAAAAGAGGACAAAGCATTGATTAGACCTATTAGGACAAAGTCCATCAGCATTAAGCACTGGATGACTACCCCATTCATTCCAAGTATCTTTATTCAACAGACAATTGCAAACCCAGTGATGTCCCATGACCCATCATGACCCATGTCATGATGTCCATGACATGGACAACCAGATATACTAACAAAATCCTGATATGGGGAAATAAATTAATAAATGAGAGAAAAAAATGTCATTGGTACAAGAAGGCTTGTCTGATCTATCGTCATAAATCTTCCCGGAAGAGAGGCCAGAGAAGCAGAAGTGTACCTATGCAAAGCTTTTTTTTCAGCCAGGTGGGCTAACAGGAGCTTTAGTTTTTATGGGCTTTTCACTGACAAAGTAAAAAAATCAGTCAGCACGGAGGAATCATGCTGAACAGAAATAACAGCGGGGAAAAAAATACTGCTAGTGGAATAAGGTGACTTCTACTCACAATTTTTAGAAGGAAGCTTTCTTCCTCCTTTTAATCTAAAAAGGACTGAGGAAGGTAATTGCATCCTAAATATAATGCCCTAATAATAGTCCAGGGTCCCTCCCCTTAATCCCAAAGGTACTAGACCTTCTGTATAGTGCCATATTGCACCCTCTAGCCCACCCAATTTATGTGAAATTTATCGCAATGCCTAAAAAGAAACCAAAAGAGATGAACTAACAAAAAACCCACTACATGGCATAAATGCAGTTGAAATCTCCCTGTCTGCTCCCAAATCAGGAAATTCTTTGCAGAAAAGCAGGCTAAATTCCAACTTTAAGTGAAAAACATGAATTTAGCTTAAAATTAGAAACTGTTGCAGTCTCTACTGCTACAGCATCACAAAACAAGATGGTTAATACTTTCCCCCATGATTTCTAGTGGGATGATGAATTTTAATCAATTAAAATAATTAATTAATTAGTTCCGCTTACCATGACTGAATTAATTGCATTACATAATTAAAACGTGGGGGTTTTCGATGTCATTATTACTCATTGGAAGACTCCAGCAAATTCCAAGTAAAAAGAAACCTGTTCTCCCTTCTTAAAACTGGCTATAAATGAATCTCTATTTCAATACTTTTGAGAGATGTATATTTTCCAAACCAAAGCAATTTGCACAATTCAACTCAACATGCAACTTCAGTGAGATCACAGACATAAACACAAAGGCTTTTGACTACTCTTCCTTGTGACACATCTCATTCATGTCTTTCAGAGACAAGAAGTTAGGACAATCATTTGCACAGAACTTTACAGGACCTTACAGTTTCCAAACTGCAGACAATTATGCAGTATCTTAAGCTAACAACTGACAAAACCAAAATCAATATAGGCACTGTTACCAGGGTGAAAAAAAATGGTAAGACAGTGAACTATACTAGGTCTTCCATTATTTTTCTCACCTTTCTCCATCTAAATCTGTGTTTCACCGAGATTAAAAAAACCCCAAACTTCAATGCAACATCACTTTTTTTCTACTTTTTAATTTCTTACTATAATTCCTTCTTTTTCTATTTTCAGTAAGACTCTTCACAGCAAATTGAGATCAAGTTTAGTATTTGCTCAAGCAGCAATGATATTCACCTGGAGTGGTCCCAGAATAGAGCTGGTTGTGTACATGAAGAAGAGACGCAGATAACTAAGAACATTAGCAAAAGCAAAAAGACCTTCTGCCACTAGGGTAGGATGGAAAGCATCCCAGTCCTTCCTTTCCGCATAATCATGAAACTGCAAAATAAAAAAGACAAACCGAGATCACTGACCTTACAAACACAGAAATGCTCTCATGCACCACTCCCTGCTTATGCCTCCAAAACAGGCATAAAGGAAATTATCACATACAATTCACAGGGCTTACCTCTTTCAGATATCTCACTCTTTACGGACTAAAGTATTTTAAAAGCCATTCCAGAGGGAGCCAGAAATCTGATGATTTGAATTCAGTACCCATCTCTGCCACCCATTTGCTCAGCAAAATATTTATTTCTCTGTTTGAGTTTCCCTTCTACTCTGTTTTTCAGTTTGCTGAAACAGAGACTCGCATGCTTTATAAACATGTGCATTGTCTAGTATAATACCTCTCAGTCAAAATCAAAATGATGCAAAGAAAACTGATGTAACTGCAATGTGGTGACAGCTGGTCTTAACCAGATTTAAGATGATTTAGAAATACTTAGGATCTGGGGTTTCTAAAATGGGTTTTATGAATAACTACAGAGAATGGAAGTCATGAGTAAACACATCCTTAAAGTATATCCACTAAATACTATTTCATGGTTGCCTAACTTGGGAGTTTGGCTGACAACATTCTGCATCTGTATTACCAGGGTCTGCTGTCTCAAAACAGATATTCAAAAGCTAAGGAACCCGAAGTTGCTTTAAAATAACTTGGACAGAAGCGCGCTGCACAAACATGGAAAGAAACGTGGATAAACGTATTTTTATATGTTGCAATTGCAAGTGTACAAATCCTTCTGCTACAGAGACACTTCCTTTACTTCATACAGTTTCAGTGCCTACAATATGGACCTAAAAATGCTTGGTTTACATTTTATTTGGTTTTCTAAATAATTCCTAAAATATAATTTTGCCATATAAAAGTGGCAAAAAAGCCACTGTGCCTGTTACAAAGGAGAGGAGTCCTGCACCTTCAAAAAGGTTACAACTTAAATTAGTAGCAAAAGGCTCTTAGCATAGGAACTACTATACAGACATGTGCTGGTGGCAAAATAAACAGTTGAGAAGGCAGCCCAACATGGCATTCCCTCTCTTCCTTTTTTCCAAGAAACGAAGCTTTCCTTTCCAAATGATTACCAATCTGTGAATCAATGCAAGGATAAAGAAATGAGCCAAACATCAAATTGGGAAGAACTGAACCAGTTTATTTGCCTCCCAACTGTCAAGACAGCTGTCAGCTCACAATTTGCAATACAAAATAATGGCGCTACTGCAGTGGCTCAAGTTTTGCTAAAATATTCACACCTAATTGGTCTGGCAGCTTGCCATATGTTGTGCAGCTAAAAACACGTGCAATAGAATGGGAATGATCATTTTCAAAACCTGGATCTTCAGTGAACTCCAGATGGCTTTTCACAGAGAAAAGACAAGGCTCCTCTAAGGTCTTGGGGCGTTCTTCCCTATTACAAAAAAACCCCACCAAACCCCAAACATTTCAGAAAAACCTCACAAACACCTAAGACATCCGAGCACATGTAATCAAAAGCTAAATAAAACTTTCTGCATCAAAAAAGTTTTAGGCAATTCACTATCTGAATTACTATTAGCTTTCTGCATAGTACTGATCTATGAAATCAGGCAAACTCAAATGCAAAATCACATGAGCGGTACGAGAAGATTTCCCCAAATGAAAATCAAGCCATTTGGAGGACCAACCAGTTCTTGCAAGGAAGACAGTAACTGTGTGGGGTCCCTGAGAACCTGGGACATGTTTTGATGTATTTTCTAACTCTCATTTGCCTCATCTCTCAAGCTCAAGATGCACGAAGTTTACAGATCTTGGCAACTACACAGCACATATTACTCAAAAGCCTAAACTGTATTCACATAGTAGGCTACTCGTAACGTAGTACATTTAACTACAACATACTACTAACACACCACATGTAACATTTTCACATATTTTGCAGCAATGTACTAAAATTATAGACTTGTCCCAGAAGAACTTTGGATCTATGAAAGTGGCTGCTCACCTTGTTATGGGCAACTACTTTGAGAGCAAAAGTTGCCAAATATAGGGAATTCATGACAAAACTAAGCTGATTACGTGATTCTTCTAAAAAGTCTTCTAAACCATCATACCAGAGTCTTTTAACATCCGACCACACCATTCCTGCAGGGGAAAAAAAAAGTCAGGGAAGTTAAGCCACTGCACCGAATATATATTCTTTTACAACAGAAGCAGTTCTGACTGTTTTTTGTATATGAAATTTTAGCAATGAGACAGAATTAATCGAGTAAACTTACTAAAATCATTGCATTAGATTGCAAACATTAACAACATAACAAGACGTTTAACCTTTTCAAGCCTACTGTCCCACTAAGGAACTCACTCTCCAATAAAAATAGGAAATGTAGGAGAAACATTGGACAGAAAAGGGTCAAATTTAAATAAAGGGCTAGAATAGAAACGCTTTTCCTGAAGGAGAAGTATTAATTTTCTCCAAATGCACTGCAGAAATCATTACATCGGTATATAAAGCATCGAGTATTTTCTGGGAGTGAGTAGGTAGTACGAAATGGTTTTTTTGAGAATAATCAGGTCAGTAGCTGTTACTGAAACCATCCAAAAGGTAGAACTTTTCTAACCTAACTGATATTAAGTAACATTAGGAGATAAAGTGGTCAGAGACCATGACTTAAGTTTGCAAAAATCAGAAGTTTTAACTTAGAGTAACATACATTTAAATATTCAGGATCTTTACACGAAAATGAATTTTATCATTGTTAACAATATCTGGCTGTATGGAAAAAAACAGTTGCTACAAATTTTGCTAACTGAATGTCCCTAACAGAGTCAATATTTTTATAAAACTTGAAAGAACCAATAAATGAAATATAATGGCACCTTTGATTTTTATGAATAATCATTTATTTTTTTTTGTTTTAGCATTTCAGATGTACGCTACTATATTTAGGACAAGAATAAAAGCACCATGTTGATAAATGGTAGTTAAAATTTGGCTCAGCTTTTAGAACTCTGCAACTTCTCTAAAACTTTGGCCCAATAGGAACAAGATCCAGTGAATGGGAAAAAAATGAATCAGATACTTAAGTATGATTTTATTAATTCAGTCAGCTTTATGGCAATTTTGAACGGCATGATGGGGGGGGAGAAAACGCGTGCTGCATACAGTTTGCTAGAAGACTTGCATAAATCTCTTTTTGAAGAAAGTATTTCTAAACTAGAACCTCCACACGATTAACCTGTATTTTACACTAAATTTGTTCCAGAATCAGCAAAAGGATTTTGAGAATTAGAGGCTGTTATGTACAAACACAAAGATTTGAGTTCTGTTGCTTTATTTTGCTGCAGTATAGACTCAATAACTTGGAATAGGTACAGGCTCAGTAACTTGGGAAAGAGAATAATTGTATTCATTATTTTCAAACAATCTGGTAAAACACAAAACTAGCTACTGACTTTAAGTGTTAGAAATTCTGCTGTGGCCATTTTGACATTGATTTTTAGAAAGTATTTTAATGGGACTGTGAAAGACAATAATATTGGTAAATCCTTGTTACGTAGTTCTTTTTATTCCAGTTGATTTTTTCACACATTTTCCAAATATATTATTTTCAACTTACTAAATATTTGTAAGGGAACAGTACAATATGTGATTATGAAATAGGCATTTAAGCTATAAATGCAAGTACTCTTAAAAAATAATCTTAAAATTCAATAATGTGAAAAATAGCTTGCTTTTAGTGATTTATATTACTTATGGGTCATTTTTCAATCCTATCCAAAATCCACATTAAAATACTACATGAAGAAAATAAAATGCTCCTATGGCCTTCAATAAAATTTCCAATACCACCTAATGACTCGCCTTCTGTCTACACTAGATTTGATGGAATAAAAGAATTTCTAAAATGAAATACTGAATCCCAAAACAAAGGAAGAGTCTGTAACACTGACCTGTACTCTACATTCGAGGCTGTCAAGTTTCTTTTAAGATCTGCATGTGTCTGTACATAGGGTACTGGGTATTTTGGAAATTTGCCTGAACTACTCAACAATTTTAATATAACTAAACAATGAAAGGAATCACCATTACAAAAAAACACCCCTCTTAAAATAACAAATAAATTACCCATTACTTGATAAAAAGTGTTTTCAGCTGTATCACTGCTTTTTAAAAGTCCAGTCAATTAAATGATACATAACTAAATACCGTAAGTTTCCACCAATTTAATTAACATTGTAATATAAAAAGAATATACCAAACAATCAAAAAACATTTTAAAGGGGTTTACAGAAGTTCATGTGTACTCAACAAAAATTACACCTGTGCTCCCTCTACTGCATCAACCAGAATTAACATGTGCCCTTTCAGGTACAGTTAAGATAATTGGTGACAATGACATACAGAAATGGAAAGTTATAATACGGAGAAATTAATACTTCTGTGTTTTAAAACGAGAATGTGGTAAATGCACACCTTCAATTTCTTAAGATAAGATGGAGTATGCATACATAAACATACACAACACACATTTTTCTTTAAACAGTATGCCAACTCTGCAACAAGTCCAAATTGGAATATTAATTATTTTCAAATAAAGCATTACAGAACTGGTCATGAAAGACTGAGTTGTTACTTATTGTTGATGTCAATTTTGTATATATATTCAAAAGACCTCTTCCTGAGCTTAGCAGAATAATATACAAATTTCACATTTACAACTAGGAAAGAGAATTTGGAGACGCCTAAATTTTGACAATTGTTTAAAGCTGAATTAGTACAATGAAAATGTACAGAATCCTCCTGTTCTATCATCCTGTAGGAGCGTATTAAAATAGAAATGAAAACAGCATCGGAACTGATTTTATGACTAACTGTGTGCTTACTCCCAACTATTTACAATCCAGAAGAATTATCATTAATTTGCATACAACGTCAAAATACTTTCAATCTACTTTGATTACATAAAAATCTTAACTACATTTTCAAAGAATATTCAGATTCTAGCATAATCCACACAGACACATAATTAAGAATCTTAAATCATTCCTACTACTTTTTTACAGAATTCATACAAGCACTGAATACCCTGAGTTGGAAGCAATCGACATGGATTATCAAGTGTATCTACTGACTCCACACATGGCAACCTAAAAGTTAAACCATAACTTTAAAAGCGTTGTCCAAACACTTCCAGTAAAAGAGAGCTGAAAGAAATTACAAAGTTTCGCAGATTGTTGGCTGAGGAAGAAATGGAACAAGTTTGACTCACAATGATTAAACCATCCACATACTAAATAATACTACCTATTCACAGAAAAAAACAATGTCTGAATTAATTTTAGTCCTCAACTTAGCACTAAGGAAAACTAGTGGAAGACTGGCTCTTATCTGTTACCAAACTATTCATCTGAGGTACACACACGTGCTTTGCCTTCAGGTTATTTTTCATTCTCTTATTTATTTTTTTTTAAGATTAGAATTTTAAAATGTCTACAAGATACACAGCTTTTACATTAATTTGTTGCTGCACGACCAAATCTCACTTGCATCGCTCTGCTACCAGTTCTTTTGAAGAAAAATTCACATTTCTCCTCTGCTAGACCCTACAACATTCACTTTTTGTGATAACTAGAGATTGTTCTAACACTTCACATCCCTTCTTCAAAACATGTTTGGTTTTGTTTGGTTTGGTTTTTTCCCCTGTAACACTATCCTCCAAAAAGCAGATCTTGGTCAAGCAATGAGTACAGGCTAATTTCATAAGAAGGTAGTAAAAATTATTACTGCTCAATCAACATCAGCAATTGTCATCCAATCTACTCAAATCATACCTACCAATTAGCCATATTATCAGAAGATAGTCTATTCTCTCAAGGGCTGGTCCCATTGTATTCTTCTTATTCTCATTGTAGACAAGGGAGTACAAATTAAGCAACAACAGAAATGTGAAATATGAAGCTCCATGAATAATAAACTTCATAAAAGGAGTGTGAATTATTCGACCTACTCGAGATTTAGGGGCTAACAAGTAACACAGGGAGAGAACTGGCCAGAAAATGCCAACCGTCAAAACAGTCAAAATTTTCTTGCACGTGTGCTTGCGTCGATAGCCTGCCATCTGTCCAAACCACACAGTGTTTAGAAACTGCTGGCAGTTAGACTGAGCAACAAACTGGGGAAAAAACAACAACAACAACAACAACAAAAACAACACAAACAAGAGATCAGTCTCAGGTTTCTTGATACAGATTAGTAATTTATATTATTAAAATTAATTTTCAAACTATGTGCAGCTATCAATGAACAGGAAAAGGCAAGAATACTGAGTTAAATTAATCATATCATAAAAGAAAAAAAATGCTATGAACCCATTATCATTATAAACATCCGTAATTTTAATTTCCTTCCTAAAACCAGTAACTAAATGTGAATTATACAAACTAGAGACTTTCAATGAGTTTTGATTTCTAATTACTTAGAAATCTAGCACATAAGTAACATCAGAACTCATATGACTATTTCGCAGAGTTAATTTTCACAGAATCATGTTTTAAATCACAGTAAGCTACACTGTATCAGTCCCTCAAAAGGAGATCATTTTGGTCTCAGTATTATGTAGATTATGCAAATGTAGTTTCAAATTTCAGGCATTTATTTGCATGGAGTTACAAAAAAAATATATTTCACAAAAGGATGCTTTGTCACTTAATTTTTAAAATATCAACAAAAGGAACCTTTATTATCATCACATTTTAGAAAGCATCACAAAACCTGTCTCTACAGTAAACTTGCCGAAAAAAAAAAAATTATGCAAAGATAATTTCCTTGCATCACACAAAAAACCCTGTTGTTTTGCTTCAACCACTGTGGTAAAAACAAGCTAGGCTCAAAACCAGAAGAACATCTGAAATACTTACACATGCTTCTTTAACGCATACAAGAAATGTGTAATGCTGGTTCTAGGACACTCTATAGCTTATGACTTTTAAATATACGTATTTTAAGAGTTTCACAAACAGTTTAAGCCTAGATACGTAAACCAGACAGAATTCTAATGCCTTCTGCAAATGCTAATTGAAAATAAGATTTTCATGGAAAGGGAACTTTCTCTCTCTGCCCAGTCACTATACTAGAATCACACTAAGATCCATTTGTCTTCTAGCACAGCAAAACTAGAGCTATAATTTGTCAAGGGATAAAGACAACAACGATCTACTGCATGAAATAACTTCTATACTGATGGGATATTAAGGCCCTACTGTTCTGGAACTGAGATGCTCTTCAGTTATACCAACATAGGTCTGAACAGCAAAGACGAAGTCTGAGCCAAAGCCCAAGAGCTAATGAGAAGTGAGAGGATGATAAATCAAGTATGGCACCTAGGGATCCATGCTTCCATAGGCAAGAATTTAATAAGGGTCTAAACAAGTAATTGCCACTACCAGAGCTGCTCATGAAAGAGCAGTAGTCTATACTCTAGTACAGAAAATACTGCATTCTTCTCCACAGTAAATACTGAAGAAATACTTGCTATCTTGCAGTATCATTTCCCTATTTCACATGCAGATGTTCTATGCATCCCTATCTCTTCTATAACTCTTGCAAATTTATTTCCAGTTCTACATCTAGAAACAGAACAATAAATTAAATGAATGACTAGCAAAATATGATACAGAAAGCCTACCAAATTTCTGCAAAGACAAACCTCTTTTTGATTATACTTGATTGCAAGTTTTAAGCGACTTAAGTTCATCCTCTCTTCCAACAATCCTCGCTTGTCTACGTGTTCATCACTAGACGTGTGATTCAGAATAACTTCCAGCTCCCGTGAGTTCCGTGCTTGTGCAAGTAAATCTTTAGCAAAGGTTTTGCACTGCTGAGCTAGCTCTTCATAATCATTTCTGAAAGACACAGAAACAGTACACACTATTTTACTTCTCACAGATTTTCCATTAAATCATCAATATTCATTTTTTGTTTAGATTATATATTAAGATATGACAAATTAAGAACGTATGCAAATTAACAGCCGTATGCAAAGATCCAAGCATTCTGAAAACAACTCTGAGTAAGTTTCACCATGCAATGTGCCAATTACACTTCAGTTCAGTTTGCTACTGCACTACATAGAGAGAAAAAATTACAAACTTACAGTTTTGTCTTAGAAGTTCTATATAAAGAATTAAAGCTTAGGACTGTTCCCAGAACATGAGAAAGTGTAGTAGTCACAAAACATGACACTGGCAATTCAACATTTGAACCTTCCATTTTGGAAGGCAAGTTGTTTTGGTCTTTATTTCTGTCATCTGAAAATCTATTCACTGAACACTATTTATTAATGCAATAAATGTAAGAAACTACACTATTCACTTGTCTCACCTGGCACACACAATCCTCTCTAGTGCCAAGCTGTATCACAAAAATGCAACAGTTGAATTCTTACTAACAAAATCAGCTAGAAAACCAGAAAATTCAAGTATTTCATGAAAGCAGAATTTTACCCCATATGAATATTTGCTTTCATGTTCTCATAAAAAATACATGTGTTTGTGCTCGTAAGTTTCAAAATGGTATATGCTTTCATAGTTTGAACACAAAATTATACCGACCATTTCTTCATTAAACAGACATGGCATTTTCAGCATGAAATCTAAACAGATACACATATTTTTTCATATGTATATATATATATACACACACATACACATGCACTCTTCAGAGTCTTACATTATAAGCTATGCCATCTCAGTGGACATGAGGGACAGACATATAGTGAGAAATGAGGAGGCAAGGGTTGTTGTTGATGGTTCAGAAATCATGGAAACACCTGAGAAGGGTCTGGTAGGAGATGGGGCCCACACTCACAAAAAGGTGCTGGGATCATTAGCTCATCTGAAGCACATCTATGCCAACACACACAGTATGAGCAACAAATACGGAGAGCTTGAAGCGGTGATACAACAGGAAAACTAAGACATAGTGGCTCTCACAGGAACATAGTGAGATGCCTCACACAACTGCAGTGCCACAACTGATGGCTGTGAGTTCTTCAGGCAGGATAGACAGGGAAGGAGAGGTAATGGGGTGGCCCTGGATGTTGGAGAGTGTTATGAATGTTCAGAACTTAAGTATAGTGATGATGGGGTGTCTGGATTAGGTTAAGGGGCAAGGCCAACAAAGCTGATATTGCTGTGGGAGTCTGCTACAGACCTCCCAATCAGAGCAGTGGGGTGGATGAAGCATTCTATAAGCACATGGGAGAAATCTCACAGTCATTTGCCACGGTTCTTGTGGGAGACTTTAACCTCCCATGTATCTGCTGGGAATACAACACAGCAGAGAGGGAACAAGCCAGGAGGTTCCTGGAATGTGTGGAGGACAACTTCCTCACACAGCTGGTAAGTGAATCGACTAGGGAAGGTGCCCTGCTGGACCTCCTCTCTGTGAACAGAGAAGGTCTTCTGGAGGATGTGGCAGCTGGAGGCCAACTAGGGAACAGGGAACATGAAATTATTAAGATCTCTATTCTTAGAGATGTTAGGAGAGGAAACAGCAAAACTGCCACTCTGTACTTCCAAAGGGCAGAGTTTGACTTGTTTAGGAGGTTACTTGATAGAATTCCTTGGGAATCAGTTTTGAAGGGTACAGGAGTCCAGGAAGGCTAAACACTCCTTAAGAAGCGAATCTTAAAGGCACAGGTGCAGGCCGTCCCCATGTGCTGGCGGCAAAGAAGATCAGCCTGGCTGAACATGAAGATCTGGCTGAAAATCAGGGTAAAAAAAGAGCTTATGGCCTCTGGAAGAGGGGGCAGGCCACTCATAAAGAGTACAAGAATATTGTTAGGTTATGCAGGGGGATAATTAGGAGGTCCAAAGCCCAGCTAGAAATTAATCTTGCTTTGGAGGTAAAGGTCAGCAAGAAAAGTTTCTATAAATACATTAACAAGAGAAAGACCAGGGAGAGCCTCCATCCTCTACTAGACCCAGGAAGAAATAAGGTAGCCAAAGGCAAGGATAAGGCTGAGGCGCTTAATGCCTTCTTTGCCTCAGTCTTTTATTGAGGAACGACAGTCCCTCGAGCCAAGACACAGGGGTCAGCAGCAAAACGTTCCCCAGACAATCCAGGAAGTGCTGCTCCACATCGATGCCCACAAATCTATGGGACCAGATGGGGTGAACCCTAGAGTACTGAAAGAGCTGGTAGGACTTTTCACCAAACCACTATCCATCATTTATCAGCAGTCCTGGCTAAACAAGCAGGTCCCAGCTGATTGGAAGTCAGCCAATATAACACCCATCTATAAGAAGGGATGGAGGGATGATCAGGGAAATTACAGGAGGGAAGTTGATGGAGCAGATCATCCTGAGTTCCATTATGCAGCACGTGCAGGACAACCAGGTGATCAGGCCCAACCAGCATGGGTTTGTGAAGGGCAGGTCCTGTTTAACAAACCTGATCTCGTTCTGTGACTGGGTGACCCGCTTGCTGGATGAAGGAAAGGCTGTGGATGTTTTCTACCTTGACTTTAGTAAGGCATCTGACACTGTTGCCCACAGCATTCTCCTAGAAAAACTGACTGCTCGTGGCTTGGATGGGCATGTGTTTTGGTGAGTAAAGACCTGTTTAGATGGCTGAGTCCAAAGAGCTGTGGTCAATGAAGTTAAATCCAATTGGTGGCTGGTCACAAGTGGTGTCCCCCAGGGCTCAGTGCTGAGGCCACTCCTGTTTGACATTTTCATCAGTGATTTGGATGAGGGGACAGA